TTTTGGCTGTAATTTGTATATTTGTATACAAATCTACAAATTTGTATATATCTTATGCAAATTGAATATTTTATTAGTAATTTGTTCGATATTAATACTTAGTTTAATGATAATTGATAAAAGTTATTTTTTACACACCAAACAAATTTATACTGTACAAGTTCATTGTTTAGAAATAAATATAAATTACTGCTGAAAACATGACACAGAGAATGTTAAATTAATTTTTTAGCATTTTCTAATATAAAAAAATGGTTGTTTTTAAGAAAAAAGAAAGATGTATGCTCCAATTGAATAGTGGAAATAGATTACGTACATAGCGCAATTAGATTGCAGCCCACTCCAACATTGTACCATTAAGTAAGTTAAGAAAACAGTGGGATGCATGCAGAAATTTTATCGATAATAAACTTAAGAGCATAATTAAGTGCGTATAATTAATGCAGGATCATATCGCAAACATAAAATTGCAAAATTAGAATCATAACTAACAGGACATTATAAAATCAAAATATTTGACATTACAAAGACTAATGAAATCTTCTTTTTAAGTTGATGTAGAATGCGATGTAACTTTGTGTTTGGATTATAGGTACAATATGGATTGGAGTGAATTGAATTAATATATAGGGCATGATTGGCTAATCTGAATTAAAGAAATTATAAGTGATGTAAAGTAATTGTTTTATAGAAGATTGTAGATAAAACTATAAAATATATTACAGAGAGAGAGAGGGGGGGGGGAGAGGAGACAGAGAGAGAGAGAGAAAGAGCGCTGTACAGTATATAAAATAAACTGAAAACCAGTGTAGAAAAAATGAAACTATTATTTGTACAGATACGATTCGTCTTGATTACTCAAGTACAAATAATAAAATGCTCCTTAGTCATTTTGTAATATAAATACTGTATCTAAACTATATATGATATACAATCACAATATTGCTTCCTATGGCTGTGATTACTGAGTCATTTGATGTTGACTTTAAGAGGGAGTAATATCATGTAAAACTCATATTTCACGCCATATTTATTTATTGTTACAATTTTTTAACACCTTACATCGTTGCTGAATGAATTATTGTTGGAGATAAGAAAGCACAGTATTCATACTTAAAGATATATGTAAAAGAAGAGCGAAATCTAAATTTGAAAATAACTTTACAAAATGTTCATTTAAGTTATCAAAAATTTTCTTTGGAGATTTGCAACTAATCTTTCGTTTGAAATATGTGTGCAAGTATGTGTGGATGAGCCTATTACACGCGTACACATATTTTATATAGTTTAAGCGTGTAATTCTCAGATTATAGTATATCTTATTGAATTTATCAGGACATTCAATTCATTGTTTATACTTTTGTTGTAATTTGTTAATCTTTGTATTAAACATATTTTAGATGTTTTTATTTGAACCTTAAATAAATGTTTATTTCTCAAGTGTGTTACAGAATATTATAATACTTCACTAATTTCTTTTTAAAAATTTATTTATGCAAATTACCGTAGCTACGTATTAGTATATAATTGACTTAATATTTTCTACGGTTTTTTCTTTATGAGTAAACATTTATTTTTTGAAAATAAAACAGAAGATGTATATAGTCGATATATATGCTCCCACTGCTATTATAAAGAAATATAAATAATGTAGAGTATATAATAAGTACATATTGAGTTTGTGTAACACAGTGAAACACGGTATATATAATAATGATGTAAATAAATCATTCTACAAAGAATTATGGTGTATCTTCTTTAATTCGTTGCTTTATCTCTCGGTTTCTTACAAGTGTATGAAGAAAGGAAAAAACATTTGAGAATAGTTACATTTTGAAATCTTACTTCAGAGTTATTTTCTTTAAAATATTTTTTGATGGGCATGTAAACCATTTGTAATAAGCACCTATTTTATTTAAATTAAAAGAGTGAAATATGGCAAAAGTTGTTAATGATGTGTGCGACACTCGTTGTCAATTATTTCACAGTGAAATGATAAGAAAGGAAAATGCAATACGGATGAAATGGTTTTTAAAGAATCAACAACGATTGATAGATCAGCTAAGAGAACCGAAATTTATAAAACGTGCCAAAGAAATAATTATAGAGTCTAAAAAACGAGAAGCAGCACGTGTAGATAAACCTATCGTGAGTGATTACAGTTTACTGATTTATAATGTTTATCTCTTTAAAATTTTTGTACATATATAGGTACAACGGCAGCCCTTACCCACATGGAGGCCACCTAAATCCAACGATTCTATTAATATAGATATTATGAAACCGATTGATCCCGATGTAAGAGCGATACTTTATGAGAAAAAAATTCCAACTTTTATTACTAGTCATAACTATCTAACTAAAAGGTACCTACAAGTCAAATACGATGCACAAATCCTTGAAAACGTTTAATTAATTAATTTAAAATGCTCTTTGAAATTTTTTAGATTTAAAGAACCTCCGGAGAAGCGTTTCTATTTTCCCGATTGTACAAATTGGATATATGGTTGGCGTCTTGATGATTATCCTCCTGTTCCACTTAGCGAAGTAAGACTAAGATCTATTTTATTAGCACAATTTTATCAGCGTAAGGCATTCAATTTGGAACAAGATCCAGAATGGTTTCGTGGTTGTCAAAAGAAGAATGCTAAGAATTTTGATGAACATTGACATGTTAATTATTAACTAATTTATAACATTTGTACAGAGAATTATAAATATATCTATGTATATTGTTGTAGTACTATTATTGATATTTTAATATTATAATTTTTTCTGTGATGTTTGTTACATTTTGCGATAACTGCCATTTTTATAATAAAACAGATATGTGCGATCGATTATTATTCATTCCGTTTAAATATCCCTAATTCATCATATAAAAACGAACAATACGATATTTCTTTAAAAAAATTTTATCCTTAAAATTAGAATAAATTGATATTTGTAACAAAATATATTTGTTAAGAAAATTCCGTATTTGTAAAGATAATTCTAGAAATTTCTCTTTAACTCTATTATATAATATAGTTAACAAATGTCATTTATTTTATTATAAATACATACATTAATATTCTAAGCTATTATTTTAAATTATAATATGAATGTTAATTGAGAAAAATCAGGTTTAGTTCTCAATATACATCGAAAAATCGTCAGTCCATATTGCCAGTAATTGTCAGTTATGGATTAGCGTTTTTCTGCATCATAACTTCTCCACTCTTCGCAATTTTTTGTAATAATTTCTCGATTTGGTTCTTTGCATACCACTGTATTACCTTCTTCAAAAATTCTCTTTGGTTTTCGTTACATTTCTCACAGTTAGTTATGAGAGCTTCGCGGAACATTTCTGGAATTAAAAGGAATTATTTTTTGTTTATTCTTTAATTCAAAATAATCAATTTTACTTTTCTAATTACCAAATCCCAATACCTAAATACCCTTTGATATTAAGGGTTCATCTTCTATATTACGATCGCAATGAATTTTGCAAAAATATCGTTGAATAAATATCAATTTCTGTTCAATTAATATGTCCATGCTGTTATATCGAGAATTATTAAAGATAGACGAGAAAAAAATGAAAAAAACTCTTCAATGAAGTTATTTTGATGTCATTTTTAGTGTATTCAAACTGCATTCGAAAATTTTAATTGTTCTCCCTTATAAAAATAAAAATTAGGGAGTAAATCGGATATAACGGAAGAGTAACAGAAGTGTGAACGAAACTCCTAGAAGACGAAAATTGGAACAATGAAATGTGAAAGAAGCATTTACGTTTCTTTTACATATTAATGCTCCAATTTCCTTCTAGAAATTTCGTTTACGCTTTTGTTACTATTCCATTTTATCAGATTTATACTCCGATTTTTATTTTCATCAGAGCCTTTTTTCTACAAAATTTTGTTAGAAATAAACACGATTCCCACATCACACAAATCATCTAAACGTAATCCCATCCAAGAGGTTATTTAACTTTCCGCCTAACTTTAATTAGATTCCGAGATATCAGCATAGACATTAAATCAAATATCTTATACAGATTTACAATTGAGCAATGGATTAAAATTCTGTTAAAGTCTGAAAATAACTTGCAAATCTTATTGAGGAAAAAGTTTGTCCATATTTTTTAATTCAAAATTATTTATACAATATCTTCGTCAAAAATGAACGAAATTTAAATTAAAAAAAGAGCATTATAGCTTGAAATCTTTACTTTCGAAAGGTTACTATATTTTTTGAGTTTGGTAATTTTTACATTTAAAAAACTACGAGCTGAAAAAAAATGAAAAATTTTCTTTTTACTCTTTGGAAGTCTCTTATATGCCCAAAAAAAGTTCCGAAAATTTTCGACTATGTATCTTGAAAGCTTGAAGCTGCTTCTACAAAATCATTTTTTAAAAATGTTTCTATGATTTTATATTCCTGAGTTATCCGCAAGTTATGTAAAAGAGCATTCTGATTTCGATTGCTCATAACTTCGATAAAAATCATTATACCGCAATTTAAAAAACAGATTCTTAAAGCTGAAACTTTGTTCTAGCGAATAATATAATTGTAATGAAAATTTCACAATAAATCAAATACTTTTGCAAAAAAATTTGTTAAAATATGAAGAAACTTTTTTCCGATCTAATATTCTAGCGTTTCTTTTTCCTTTTGGAGTTTTAGTACGCGAATTTCCTTTTTACATCGTAGATTATTTGGAAACTATAAATATCTAGACGTTAAAGAAAAATCGATTTCGTATTGGTCAAACAAATTTTCTCTGTCACAAAACAAGAAAAAATAATTCTATATAATACATACTATACATCTATATAGTAGTATTATACACATAGGTACCTGTTATCTCCTTTTGTACTCTTGATGTACATGGTGCTGTATTCATGTAGCATTTCTGATATTCATCTCGTAGAGTGTCGTTACGGATAATAGCGCCAATATCAACATTATCGAATTCATCGGTATAGCGCTCCACTGCAAGAACGTACACTAGTACGTTCATAGCAATGATTAATACGATACGATTTAACTGAGACATTGTTTCCACAGTTATGATACTTGATTTACTAAATTATAAATGAATCGCTTTCTTTTATATAAATCTAACTTAAAAGAAAAACCACGTGATGTATGTGCAAATGCAAAATATTTACAGAAGATCAATAAGCGATAAAAAAACCTTTGAGAGCCGATATTGGATGTTAAGTCAATTCGCATTCATATGTCGATGTCTATTAAATTAATAAGTTTACTAAATAATCATTAATGTAAAATTTAATAAATAAGATTAAAATTAAAATTAAATGTAATTACTTAAAATTTACATTTTGCTATTTGAATATTGATATAATATGCAATGTTGACAACTCATGGAACTGATAAGAACATTTGTCACACAATAACACAACTGGATCTCCAATAAAACTATGAAAGAGGGGGAAGGAATTAATTTTTTGGAATTAAAGTGAATTAAAGTAGAATTTCTATACAGAAGATTTAGCAATTATGATTAAAA